CCGCTGCATTGATACATTGCGCGCGACCAGCGGCGCAGGGCATAACGGCGCTATTTCGCCATTACCACATCAACAAGACGTCGAGCCGCCGTGTCCTGAGAACAACCGACAATCACGTGCGTGCGCCGTTGGTGGATTCAAGAAGTGAGGGAGGAACGGCACGGCGCGGCCGCGCCAGGACAGCGTAACGACCGTCACCCATTCAGTTCCCACGATACCACTTAATCGACCTGATTCAGGGCTGCCCCTGCACTAAGCGCGGCCCGCGCCAAGTCACAAGCGGCGCGCGGCGGGCGCGCCCCTGGGTCCTCCAGGGCCAGGATAGAGCCACGACGCCGCAAGCGATGCAACGCCCCGCGTTACCCATGGGTACGCATGAATAATGCATGACCAGCACTAGAATATCCGTCGGGAAGGATGAGCCACCCTGTCGCTGCGTGCGCTGGTTAAGCTTGACCTGGCCCCGAATTGTCCCCTAGCTCGGCGATGTCCTCGCTGACTTATCACCGAGACAAGCCTGCGCCGCAGCGGGTTGTTCTCGACGTAGAATTGGGCCCAGGCGCGCATGCGCTAAACCACCTTGAGCTAGCCCTGGGCCGCGCCAGAGCTAGATGCCGTAAACGTTGAACTGCGCGCCCCGAATGACCGAGCAACGTTGTCCCCGTTATGCTGTAGACTTGGTCTGGACCGTTGCATGCGCTGTGCCGCCTTGGCATCGCTTTGAGCTGCTCCTGGGCTGGCATCGCTTTGAGCAGCTTCTGGGCTGGAAGCCGACGTCGCTTTCCTCGCAGTGGCGAAGGGCCGAACCACCTGCCCGAGCCCTGGCATGTAACTGAACACGGACGCACATGCGCTCCATTTTGGTCCAGTCCTACGCTACCCCTGCAGAGAAGCGGTTGTCAGCGCTGAACTACGGGCGGCGTCCAGCTGATCCAACCATATCGAGTCCTGTCCCAGACTTGAGCCAGGAGACACAAGGCTCTGACACACCTTGGCACAGTGCTGAACTACTCCTGACCTGGACGTTACGTGCGATGGCTTATCTGCCTTGACGAGCTGAGCCGCTCTGGTCTACCGCCGCGACCTCAAGCACGCGGAACACGATTGGGGGGGCCCAAGCGCGGATGGCAACATAAGCCCCGAAGCCTCTGGGAGCTACAGCGCTCGGGCGACAATTGCGCGACGTGGCGCCAGCTGGAGTTCGGCGCGGCGAAGTCTCAACGGGGGAAGCCCGCGTCCACTCATGCGCGGGGCCATGTGCCGCAATTTGGTTATTTGGTGGTCCTACTATGAATTGGGCTTGCGATGGCAAGTGGTTCGCTGCAGTGTGCTGCGTGCCGGCGGCAAGGCATTGCGCGCTCGTTCGACGGCCCCGATCCACGTGGGCATGCTGGACTTGCAGAGGGAATTTGAGCAATACTGCATGCGCTGCGTAGAATGGCGGGCGGGCGGTGCCGTTTTCTTCAGGGGGCTGGACGGGGGCGCGTCCGATGCAAGCGTAGAGGGATGATTCGTTTAATTGCACGTGCCGGCGCTGCCGCGCGATTTGCGGAGGCTGGTCCCGGCGGTTCTTGGACGACACATCGACCGTGGTTCACCGTTGTTTTTCGACGCCAGCGCCCTCGGCCCCGCGGCGCGAATTGGGCAGCCCTGGCTGGGCACGAGCAATCAAGGCGGCACATTGCTTTCCTGGGCTGAACACGGAAACAGCGCAACAGCCCGCAAAGTCCCTGAGTCAGGTTCATGTTCATGCTGCTTAGGTGCGGAAGTTTTTGGGGGATGGGGGAGGGTGGGGGGCAAAGCGCTCGCCTCGCCCCAGGATTGGCCCGTGAACGCTCCAGGGGACTTAGCGCCGAGATCCGGAAAGGGGCGCATTTGAGTCTGCGTTGTTTAGGGTTAGGGCTGCGATCTGCCTTGGCACGGGCAGCGTTGCGAGAAGAGGTTGGTTTCTCCACTGCATCTAGGGCCCACGCCTCCTCGTCCTCCTCCTGCTCGCTCCTCCTCGACCTCCTCCTGCAGGCCTGCTTGGCCAGCCTGCCGTCTCGCCCCGCGCCCGCTGCGCCGCCGTTTGCTCCCAGTGCCCACGAGGGAACCTCGGCTGCGCGCGGAAGTGAGAGAGAGAGAGATGGGAAACAAAACAAGTTAGCATATCATGTCGTCAGTTCTGGCCCAACACCGACACCTGCGCCGCCAAGTCGCGCGCGTCGTCAACGCGGCCGCGAAGCATGGTTCGTGAAGACGGCATTCGAGTCGACCGGGTGAACAGATTTTGCCGCCAAGACGCGCGCGTCGTCAATTCGGTCCCAACGTTCGGTTCGTTAAGACGTCCGAATCGCCCTGGTGAACAGATATCGCCGTCAAGATGCCCGCGTCGTCATATCGGCCCCAATATTTTTTGAAAACGACGCTCGAGTCGCCCTGGTGAGCAGATATCGCCATCAAGACGCGCGCGTCGTCAACTCGGCCTCCACACCTAGTTCGTTAAGACGGCGTTCGCGTCGCCTGGTGAGTAGATTTCGCCGTCAGTTCGGCTTCGGCGCTCGTTTCGCCGAGTTCAACACGGCCCCGATACATGGTTCGTTGCGTCGACAGCTCCGCCCTCCTAGCGAACCGGTTCTTCATTCAACTCAAGGTTCCGTGGTGCGTCGGGGGGCGCGCCGCCGAGTTATAGTTTTGTTGAGCTCTTCTTCGCAACCGTTCGATAACGTGCGCCCTCGAGCTCACCTGATTCGCGCAGACCGTGGCCAAAGGCGCAGCGAGGTCAGTGAACCCGACAGACGCCCCGTTGCCCCCCGCCAAATGAGGGACACTTTGAAACATTGGACGTGCGTCCCATTGGAAGCCACGTTACCTGCGTCGCGAACTAGCAGCGCTGAGCGGTTGGGGGCCAGGCCGCCCCGAGTGTCTATGATCGTTTCCACTTTCACAATTGCATCTGATTCTTTCGCCTTCTACCCCCTCTGCACCACTCCCGGCGTCCATTCGGGCTTTTGGCGGCGGCGAGGTCAACTTCGGCAGGGGGTGCGGCGCCGGCGGCAGCTCTGTCGGCGCCGGCCGGGGTCGGCTATGGCGGCACGGGCGTCAGCGCTTGGAGCGACGCCCGCGCCCTTTGCCCTTATTCCCCTTCGAATGCTTCCTGCTTGTGCCCCACTTCCGCTGTCGACGAGGCCTGCCGAGCGACATGCAGTGGTTGTCATGGACTTTTCGGCCGTAGGCCCATGAAGAATTTCTCCGAGGGCAGCATCGCCGTCGTGTTGTCGGTACATCAGTTTTTGTACGCTTCCATTGAAAAAAGGGATGGGGCCGAGGATTGGGAGAGGGGGCTTGGACGTAGAAAGGCAGGTGACAGACTGGAAGGAAGAGGCGGTGGAGGAGATCGCGGGGCAGTGGCGAGCAGACTCCGCAGCCATTTTGGTATGATTTTCCAACCAGTGGACGTTCTACAGCTCATTTGCGGAAACCATAGACCACTGCTGGCGAACCAAGTGCCTTAAGCACCGAGAGCCCTGTCGTTTCGTTTTGCTTTCCGCGTCGTTTTCGCCCCCCCATCCCCCCCTCTTCCTCGCGTCTCTCCTCATCCTTGCTTTTCTGGAGATGTTTCGAGGTCGGGCCTTATTCGAGTTGTCTCGGGGCCCATCGGAGGCCCATTCGACTTGCTCGTCGTGGCCGCCATGAGGACGTCTTGGACGTTTCGTGGTCCTGTGATGCCGCCTAGGCTTCTCTGAGCCCCGTCTCGGGGATTTCCTGGTGACCCGTTGAGGCCCGGTTCCCGAGCCCTCAGCGAGGCCGTCTTGGAACAACATCCGGCCGTTTTGTAGGCCCCTGGTCTTTTTGTGCGGTTCCTAAATGCATTCGATGCATGTTTCAGAAGGATCGCGGCTAAACCAAAGAAGACCCCATTGAATTTACGATGGGTCGTGGCCCTGGGAGCAGGGGCCCGCCGGGCCAAGCCAGGGATCGCGACCGCGGTGGGGAGGTCCCATCGCATTCCACTGAAGAACTTGCGCCTTCGGCAGGAATGTTCGAGTTCATTTTGAACAGGGATCGCTGTCGGTGTCGCCGCCGACGGGTGTGTCCACTTGAGACAAAAAGTCGCTCGCCCAACAGCGGCTGCTGTTGGTATTGGATGACATTAGCTGCTGGGCATCGTGTCCATGTTTTGCCTGCCATTACCAGGAGTACCAAACGAACTCCTGGCCTGAACTGTCCTGCAAGCCCCTTTGTAATCTCCTGGGTACCTATGCTCTTGGGCCGTGCCGCATGTTTCAAACAAATGTATAACAGTTGTTCGTCCGTCGTCGGGAACGCCTGTCACAGTGCGGTTGGACAGTTTGTGCCCACACGTGCCGCCGTAGATTTGCCAGCCGCCCTGGGGCAGGCGTCGGCGATGGCGGAGCAGTTTATGTTATACCGTTATTCGCCCACTGATTGTGATTCGCCTTGTGGGGCTCTTTGTTCCTCTTGTCTTCCTTCCGATGGAGACCTGGAGGAAGGGGCTGGGCCTCAGTCCCAAGATGCAGTCGCTGATTGATCATGCATTTCTTTTTTTCGAATCTTCAGGCATTCTTGGTTGCGCGCTCCCTTCGGCAGCTCTGGATGTCTCCTGGCAGTTTGACAGCTGCTCCTGGACCCCCCTGCCTATGAGGGCAGGCTGTTTGCCTCCTCGGAGCTAATCAGAGCAATGGGGTGTCAGAATTCCCCATCTATCAGTCTTGATTTGGACATGTGTGCACACTTGTCTCACTCTTTGAGCTGGCGGCGCGACCACGTGCGGACGCGGTTGATGTGTCCTCCCGTTAGAGTAGGTCGGGGGGGCCCAACCAGGGCCCATGAATCGGCGTGGCCGAAGACGGGAAGTCCTCCGAACCCGCCCTGCGGGGACAGCCTCGAAGCCGCCATCCGCGGATGCTGCAAGAGACGAGGCCCGCTCGAGTCTGGCGCGTGGTGCTTGGCGCGCGCGCGCTCCTCTTGATCCCGTTCGCTCCCCGCGGCAAGCCGAGGACACCGAGCTGCTCCCGCGGCTCCCCGGCGGGGTAGTGTGACCTTGCCTCCATCTTCCCTCCACACCCACCTCTCGAGTCGGACGAAGGGGGGGATGACGACGATGACGATGACGATGACGATGACGTCATCGTCATCGTCATCGTCATTTATCATCGTCATCACAGGGTAATTGTCAAATTTGTTGCAGCTGGTGTCGGCCCCACCATCGGGCGCCTCTCTTCCATGCATTGGCGCCGGCGGCGCCGGGGCCCAGCCGGTGGGCCGCAGAGCTTACCCGGTGCAAAAGTGCTATCCGAATACGCTCTCTCGATCAGAGGGTGGACGACACCTTACTCCTCGATGTTGATCCGCTGTAGTGGGCGAGATGATGGCGTGCGTCGAGAAATGCGGCAAGCACTATGGTCTGAGTCTGAACTGGAGGAAAGTGGAGCTGATGAAGGTCCGCTCTGAGGCTCACCTGCACAACAGCGCCGGATATTAAGTGCTAGAGAAGAGGCTCTGACTTACCTCGGCACCCAGCTCTCGTCAAACGGACGATGCGGATCGGAGCTAAACATGCGAATTGGCATGGTCCAACAATATTTCGAATCATTGAAATGGGTATGGTCGCATTTGTCATTGAGCAGACAGAGCAAAGTAGCAATTTTCAACGCCCACATTGTTTCTAAACTTGTACACTGTCTCTTTGCAGCCTGTCTTAGTCAGGCAGAACGTTCAAGAGTTGACGGCTTTCAGGCGCACTGTTTGAAATCAGTATTTCGGATTCCATTTGCTCATGTCAGTCGCGTGTCGAACAGTGCAGTGCTAAGCATTGCTTGTGAACGTCTGCTCAGTGAACTCATCGTCAAACGACAAAATATTTTCTTTGGACAGCGCATTAGACGCGTGGGCAACGATCCACCGAGACAGTCGGTGTTTGAATCAGGCTGTCTCGCTCTCAAGCAGCCGACAGGTCCCCGGAAAAGAGGACGTCCCCGGCAAATGTGGGAAGAATGGTACTAAACAGTTGTTTGGACATTGCTGGCACCCTGACCCGTCTTGCTGACTACTTTTCCCCGGAGGGCGGCGCAGCGCTGGCGTGGGAGTCAGCTGTCCGCGCATTGCACGTTTGATTCCTGTGCTGTAGCACGCTCGGAGCACATCATTCAAAACGTATTGCGATATTGTGTGGCTTTCGCATCGTAGGCAGAGTAATGTCCCAGATCGGTGTAACGCCATCGAAGCCAGCGCAGGCAGCAGCTCGTGCTGAAGCATACTCTCTTGCTCGCGCACCATCTGGCGCAAGGCGACCTGACTGAGTGACTGACCAGAGAGCGTATCCAGGAGGCCCCGAAAGCTTATCTGGGAAGCGTCAGCGGCGAGAGCTTATCCAGTCTAGCGAAGCTACAAAGTGTAAAAATGCGCAGCATTCCCGATGCGAGAGAGCACTTCCCCATACTTTCCCCAGAGCTTATCTGGCCAAAGTGAAGGCAGATTGCCGAATGAGCTCGCAAAGCCTTGTCGAATAAGCTCTTCTCGGAAGGTTTGGGAGGGCGCCAAAGAGATCAGCTACGCGAGCTGATTCTTCAACCCTCACTTTATTCCCCCCCTGGCGTGCGGCCCGAATCTCTCCCCACCGCCTTCTCGAATGATGTTGAAAGACATGAGCATTTATTTTCGGAAGTCCGCGCGGGTTTTTCGGATTTGCGCTGGACCCCTGGCGGCGACTTCGGCGCTGTCTCTGGTGAGCTCCCCTTGCCGGGGAGAGGGGTTCAGAGAGGTTCAGGGAGGAGCAGTAGGCACAAATTTAAACAAACGCTGATTTTTGTGAAAGAGGAGAAACTATGGAAAATTGTGGGGAAGCGAGAAAGATATGTATGTTATGTATGTCATCCTGGCGTCTATGTCGATGTAGGTGTGTCCCCCTGAGCCCACTCGTTCGTTCTTTCTTCCTCTAGTTTGGCCCCCCTGCTGCCCCACACCGCTCCCGTTCGAAATCTTTGTCATCATCCTTTTCTGAACTCTTGATTCTTCGGAGGCTCAGTTCCACCTCGAGCCATCTTGGGGCTTCTTGGAAGCATGTATTTTATATACGTACATACATACATAGTCTATAGCATAAATAAAAAGGGCGGGGCCCCTCCCGGGGGGTCTTCCACCTCGATGACATCTGGATTACGCTCCCGGTACTGCGCTTCCGGGCCTCCTTGGGAGCCCCCCAAACGCCAACGGACAGCCCAAGACGACCCGAAGAACCCCCTAGAACGTAAAATGACGGCCGAAGTTGCTCCCAAGCAACCCAAGATAGCTTTCGCGCGGCTCTCCAGGCTCCCAGGGCCTCCAATAGACCTCAAGAGAGCTCCGAGAGGCCTCCATGGATCGCCCGGATAACCTAAAATCGTTTATTGTCATTTGTTTTTTCGAAGGTTTTGGCTTACCTCGGCCGCCCCTCGCTCTGCGTTAATGCAGCGAAGCAACGCCTAAGGCAGGATCCGGCAGGAGAAAGCGGGCAGAGCTGTGGCACATAGGCAGCCCTCCAAGGCAATCCCGACTGCCCCAGGTACCCGGTACCCTGCCCCGGGACCCTGTATCCTGGTTTTGGTTTTGTCACCATTTCATGTTTCCAGCGCTCCACCACGGCCGAAAAGGCCTTCAATTCCGCCCCAAGACCGCCCAAGAGGCTCCCAAGACGGCCCCAAGTCGAGCCAAGAAGGCCCCAAGACTGCCGAAGAGACGCTCAGAACATCTCCAGACCAGCCCGGAACAGGCTCAAGATGAGCCCAAGAGCGGGAGCAGGAGGCCTCCAGAGAGATCTCTCTCCGAGAGGACTCCGGACCCCCCCAGAGGCCCCCTGACGAGGCCCCCAAAATAGCCCAAGAGAGCTTCGAGAGCCGTCCCGAGAGAGCCCGAAGAGGGTAACACTGATCATTTCCATTTTTTCTTTTTTATATATGTTTTTCGCCTTTTTCCCGCTTCCAACGTTCAAAGACCGAGGAACTTGAACAACAATTGAATTCCATAGATCTTGTTTTCCAAGTTGGGACTCCTACTCCCTATCCTTTCCCTCGAGTTCCATCAAGACTTCGGGGTCACATGCAAAGATATTCCGGGAATGCTGTTGAACTCTCTGACGCCTATCTTGGCACTCTCTTGGATCGTCTTCGTGTTCTCTCCCTTGGCTGCCCCTCAAACCACCGTAGAAATCGGGATCCCACGATCTCCTGAGTTGAACATTTTCATGGCGAAGGACCCGACCATATGCAGTTGTGAGTGCCGCACTTACGAATATCATCTTCGCCCGCGCTCCCCATGGGGCCACGGACCGTGCGAGGGGCGTGCAGAAAGGCGTGGCGGGGCACACGGCGCGAACGAAGACGATAGGTCTTTGCGCGAGAGATTGAGAGCGGGTGAGTGTGAGCGCGAGCGAGTCTGATTGTGAATGAGTCTGCGCGCGCGTGATTCTACTTGCGTAAATGTCGACGCCCATGTCGGCGCGCCCCTCGCGAGGATCGCGCCCGCTTCCTCCCCGTTCTTTTTCTCCCTCCTTGCCCGCGCGCGCCCATGTCCGAGGCTCTGGGCGCGGCGCCGCGCGGAGTCCCCGCAACGCGCGTTGGTCGCCCCGAAGGGGTCCCAGCGATGCGCGCGGGTCGTCCGTTGCGCGGAGCAGAAAGAGCTAGCAGGCTGGCTGATAGCGGGCAAGTCTCTGGCCGCTGGGCAGAGCGACGATGGGGGCGAGCGAGGCGCCGGGCAGAGCGCATCGTGCAGTTCCCGCGGCGCGCATTGGTCGCCCCGAGAAAGTCCCAGCGACGCGCGCGGGTCGCCCGTGGCGCAAGGCCAAACAGTCAGACCGTCGAGAGACGGCGAGGGTCGGGCGGGTCAAGCCTCGCGGATAAACTCGGTGACCCAGTTCCCTGGCGAGGGCCGCCGCCTTCCTTCTGCGCCGATTCGTGCGCGCAGCAGACTGCTCCAGCTGTTTCCGCAAGCCTTCCGGCGGCCCTGTCAGGAAGAACTCGACGCGCGGCGCCCGCGTGAGCAGGAGGTCCTCGTGGCGCGTGGCGCGCGAGAGCAGCGCGTGGAGTTCCAGCCACCAGTCGTCGTCCTTCTTGCCGTTCCCGGCCTCGTGGCGGCCGCAGTTCAGGATCGCGCTTTGGCGACGTCGGCCGAGGGGGCAGCGCGCCGGACAGCAGACGGCCCAGGGCGAGAGCCCACGGGGCCGAAAGAAACAAGGCGGCGGGGCCATGTGGACTGCGCCAGTGGGACCTTGGTTGGAGCTCCTCATGGGGCCGCGATACATGTGAGGGGAGTGCCAGAATGGGGCGGCGCCGCAATGCGAGCTGCGCCACTGGGACCTCTTCCCTTTGGGGCCATGGTACTCGAGAGGGGAGTGCCACAATGGGGCGGCGCCGCCGTGCGTGCTGCGCCAATGGGGCCTGCTCCCTGTGAGGCCGCGAAGCGTGTGAGGGGCGTGTCAAAATGGGGCGTCGTCGCCATGCGAGTCGCGCCAGTGGGACCTTAGTTTGAGCTCCATGGGGGGCCACGAAGCGTGCGACGGGTGCGCCAAAATGGAGCGGCGCCGCCATGCGAGCTGCGCCACTGGGACCCCAAGAGGAGCTCCCCATGGGGCCACGAAGCGCGCGGCGGGCGTGCCAAAATAGGGCGGCGCCGCCTTTGGGACCTTGGTTGGAGCTCCGTATGGGGCCGCGAAGCGTGTGGCGGGTGTGCCAAAATGGAGCGGCGCCGCCATGCGAGCTGCGCCATTGGGGCCTTATTTGGAGCTCCCCACGGGGCCGCGAAGCGTGTGGCGGGTGCCAAAATCGGGCGGCGCCGCAGTGGGAGCGGCGCCACTGGGACCTCAGTTGGAACTCCATATGGGGCCACGAAGCGCGCGGCGGGTGTGCCAAAATGGAGCGGCGCCGCCATGCGAGCTGCGCCGCTGGGATCTGACGAGGAGCCCCCCATGGGGCCACGAAGCGTGCGACGGGTGTGCCAGCGTGGGGCGGCGCCGCCATGCGAGCTGCGCTATTAGGGCTTTATTTGGACCCCATAGGGGCCGCGAAGC